ATAAAATTAAAGACCACCAAACATGAACTTAATATAGTACAATAAAGTTTAAGAATAATGTCTCCTAGTGACAAGACTCACAATTGAAATTATTAACATATATTTTTTGGGATATGGGCTATCAAATCTTCTGATTTTGATAATTAAGCGTCCGTTTGACTTGCCTTATTTTACTTTATAATAAGAGATATTAATTTTTTAGAAAATACGTGATTAAAAGAGAAAGATAAATTTTTTTATTTACGTGTAATATTATTTTATTGAAAATGTGTATTTGATAAGAAAAGAGAGAAAAATAAATTATAATTTAATGTGAAATAATGTAAACAAACGGGGCTAATATTTTATATTTATGAATTTAGGTGCTGTTTGTTTCTGATTCTCAAATCAATTCTCATTTTCAACCACACATTCTTCAATAAAATAATATTTTCCATCACATCAATATTTTTTTCTTCTTTTTTAACCACACATTTCTCATCATATCACTATTCAAAATCAATTCTTCCTCCAAAAATTCCTACCAAACAGGCGCTTAATGAGGTGAGGTTAGTCAGAAGTGGAATGAAGGCTAGATCTGATGGTTTTGCATGTATATATCAATGGTTCAACGTAGCCATATCGCGTCCGTATTGAGAAGATTGTATCAGAAAAAAGTAGGGAAAATTTGATTTGCTCAGAAGAGAAATCTAGCAATTGGGTAGGGGGCACTGTTGATGTGTACTATGTCTTTGGTGAGACCTATCATTTTGGGGTACCCTAAACCTAAGATAGGTTTCTGCACAAAAGATCAAAATTTATCAGATGATAAAAGCATCTATACTTAATGTCTCTTTGTTGAGGACATTTTGGAAGCAAAGTCTGATTTGAGTCTTTTGGCTGAATTCTGCAGAATATGGCATTGTTTGGGGTCCCTAATATGGACTGTCCAGGGAATCACCATTGATTTGGACTTTGTTTAGTAATTTTTCATAAGAAATTAGTTTTAATTGATCAAACAATTTCTTTACCATAATTTGTTGCAATTAGCTTCTAATTTTATGGGTTTTGTTTGCTTTTATAAAGGGTTAAACAACTTTTGTTTCTCATGTTAAAATATATGCTTGTTGGTATAAAAATCGCAAGTAAATAATGTCAATTAAATAAGTAGTAAAGCGAATCTAAATGGTTTGAATTATCTTCTCGAAGAGACTACTTTATACGAATTTCAATTTAATTATATTTATCTCGTATTTGATGAAAACAAAGTTCCAGGCAAAGTTTTGATTAAATCTAATATTAGCTAAGAAAAGTAAAAATAATTAAATGAAGGTATTTTCTTTAGATTATAGATTACTTAGATTAAACTATCAAATATGATGGTTAAGTATTGCGACTATCGATTTCACCATAGTCATCACCTTGAATCTCGTCGCTTAAGTTTATTTTCTAAAGTTGTACTCTGTCAAATTCAGTAATTGAAATTATTTTACCCCGCTCGAGTTCAAATCAATAATATTTATTAATTGAGGCGACTTAATATATCTATATGTGGATTTGAATAAACATTAAGTAAACTAATTAGATCACATAGAAATTTAATTAAATGATAGTAAAAGTGTATACCTTCTACGTAATTGCCAAATTTTACTACATAATATTAATTTATAACTCATTTCTCGATTTGTTATAATTCACAAATAATTAATTAATGATTTAAGTAATTCGAGCATTAAGAAAAGAAGTAAAATCAATACATAAATTAATTAACTATGCAAAGCTTAAAAATTGAAATTAAAATTTCAAATCTTCGTTTATATAGTTTGTCCCAACTAATGATTTAGTTAGTCATCACGAAGGAAGAAAAATAAAAAATGAAAAAAAAAATTATTGGAATACATCACCAAATTTTAAAAAACAAGAAAAAGATGAAAATCTTGCATTAAGAATGTGTTTGGGATACATTCTTTTGAAAGAATGTATTATTGAACAGTAGATTAATGGAGATTGTGTGATTAAAAATGAAGGAAAAGTTATTGATGTGATTGAAAATATTATTTTATTGAAAAATGTGTAGTTGAAAATGAGTAGAATAATGAGAATGAAAAAAAATAATGTGTACCAAACAGTGCCTAAGAATCCGCATTCTTCACCTCAAAGTCTTGAAACACTCTCCTTTAACTCTCTATTCTCTTCTATTTTTTTCTCTATATTTTTTCCTCCTTAATTCAACCAAAAATATGTCTTTATATAGTGTCTAAATCATCTCGAAAATCATGTACATAAAAGGACCAAAATATCGCCAGATTAAACTAAGCATAGAAAACTTATTGACAGGACGAACTGCAGGTCGATCGCGGTTTGCATATTGTAGCAAACCGTCATCCAAGGTTACCATACCAAAGTTTTACTTTTGCAGTTTGGTCCCTGCGTCAAATTTCTCGTACGAACTTGATCCTTTTCAATTCAAATCTTCAATTTTAGAATTATGAAAACGAGTCTCCAAACTTCTCATAAGTTGAATTTCACTCTCAAAACTTCTGAAATTCCTCAAGTTAATCTCTTAATGCTTCTCATTGGTCCCTTAACATCTAGTTAGTCTTCAATTACTTCAAATCAACTCCAATAAAGCTAAAAAAATCTTCTTTTTTGCTCAAAGTACCTATTAATCTGGATTATACATATGATGACAATATTTGCACTAAATTGAGTAGTGATCCTCTTAATTTGAAAATGTATATCAAGTTTATAAATCAAAATAATAGTGAAAAATATACTTATAATTGTTCTCATTATTTGAACTTTGGACTTTAATATACGTTGTTATTGTAATATCTAATTATGGAAATGATAACAAATATATAAGACACATAAATTTTGGCGGGATAGTAACTATTTCCTTCCAATTAAATCACGTCAACGGATGATGTTATCTAACAGCAGTTTAAATGGTCACACTTAATAGGTCCAATTAAATGTATTATTTAACTTTGTATTTAAATGGATTTATCGTTTATTGTCATCTAACTGTCATTTAGACCAGTGCTAAGAACTAGTAGAGTTGAATAGTATTACTCTTTTTGATACAACAATTCTATTTCTAAGTTTATTAGTGCATTAAACACGAGCATGTTTTGGTCTCTCTTGTGAGGGATAAACTTAATAAGTGGAAGAGTTGAATTAGTACTCGAGAAGAAGAAATAGAATATCAAATCTTATTATTTAGTTTCATCCAATACTCTCTACCTGCCCTAAACGTCCTCATTTTACACTAAAGCTTTAGTAATACAATATTTCCACTGCTTATTGTGGGACAGAAGACAAGACACAAACATGGAAATCTTGAATACTTTTTCCATTTTATTTTCTTGCAGATCCACTGTGGACAAATCAGGAACCAGAAACCCCAAAAAAAAAAAAAAAAAAAAAATTCTAAATTATGGGTTTTCTTCAGAATTTTGGGATTTCTTTAGTTATTTCTTTGCAAATACCAAAACATTTAGAAGATGAAGAATAGAACAAAATTTTGTAGCATGAAGTAAGCGGAGTTTGCGGATCCTGTCTTGAGACTAGACTAAAAGAGAGTATGAGATCCATAGCATCTTTATCTAACTTTATCTTATTCTATTTAGTATAAAAATTCAGATCAAGAACTGGGTTCTGTTTGCTTTAAAGATGGATCAAGACATTGTAATAAGCTAAACAATTCAAGAAATTAACTTATTAAGTCACTAACAAATAAAGTAAAAGCAATGAAATTTGAAAAAGAAGCTTCCTTTAATTCATTCAATTTGATCAGCACATCTGAAAATGTCCCCATCTCTCCCTTTCCCTGCCCCCGACATTCTTAGTTTATAGACTAGCTTAACAAAGTTATATTTTTAAATTTTTTTCTTCCAAATGAATGTAGAAAATAAGTAAAAGTAAAAGAAAATAAGCTGCCTAATTTTCTAGTACCGCAAAAAACATTCATACAACAATACAATTATAGTGTTTAAGAAGCCTATTAGCTTCTCTAAGACCACTAAAGTAAGCTCCATGAGTGGTTGAGTAGTGTGTTCTGTGTGTTGCTTCTCCTGCAAATAGAATTTGCAGTGGGGAGGACGACGACAATGAATCAGAACAAGTAGTGCCGGTTTTTGGTAACGGCTCGGCCAGAGTATCCAAATCGTCGCCACTTGATCCGACTGCCACATAACTATATGATCCCAAGAAGAGAGGATCAGTACCCCATTTAGTCCTCAAAACTTTATCAAATTTTGGTTGAGGAATTCCTGCAGAATTACATAAGTTGTGGGATAACAAGTTGGAAACAGTTGTTGAAACCCCATTTAGAATATCTTCATCATTGAGGGATTCAAGTTGTAGGGCTTCTTTGCCTGCAAACCATGATAACAAGACTCTTGAATTGCTGTAAATTGGAGATATAGAAGCTGTTCTCCTGATCCACCATGGGATTTTTGGGTGCCTTAAATTGGAATCTGTTTGATGAAAAACCATTTGCAAGAACGGAAATTTTGTGTTGCAACCATTGATTTCTTGATCATCATCTGAGTTACTTAGTTGCAAAAACAGTTTGTCAACAACACCATATCCCAGCCTTGAAATTGCTCCAGTCTTGAAACTAGGTAGTGGGGGGCTAAACAAACCGGAATCATGTTGAATTCCTTGCTTAAGAACTCCAAGTGAAACTGTGACAATTACATGATCAGCATACATTGTTGATCCATCGGAAAAATGTAGCTTAACTGGCCATCCATTGGTGATCTCCCCGTTCTTCTTCGTCTCAAGCTGCCATTCGATTTTCACCACTTTCCGGCCTAATTGGATCAAACCAGCTGGTAATACAGAAACCAGTGATTGAATCACACTCAAGTAACCTTTTGCAATAGTTATTTCTTCACCAGGAAACATCTTGTACTCACTTTCTGCATTGTAATCAAGACTGTGCAAGTTATCGGCCGATGTATAAGTCCTTTGTGTGTACTCATGCATCGCAAAAATGGCTTCTTGGAGTGATTTTCCACTCCAATTGCCAAATCCGTTGACAGCAAGCTTCTCGTCTTTAGTTAGGCTCCAATAAGCATCGAGGCCTTGCTGGAGAAAAGAACCAACACTGAGATCTCCAGCAGATTTGGCTGCAGCTTGCTTCAAACGCGCAACGATTTCACAATCTTCGTTAATCACTTTCCCTTGAGCTAAATCCATCAGATTCTTGAAAAGGCTAGAAATAGACTCAACAAATGATGGATTAAGATCATACCCTCCTTCAGCTATGGTCAAAGGTTCCTCCAAATTTCCATCCATACATTCCCATGGCTGCTCAGATTCCAATGAACTGATTTCTTGAGCAATTTTGTAAACTGGGCTACCACCAATTCCATGGATCCAAGTAGCTCCAAGCTCAATCCTGTCGCCACAAAATTCAGAAGTGTTAATCCTGCCACCAATTCTTGTTCCACCCTCCACAACCAAAAGCTCAAAAAGTTCTTTTGTGCTAGAAGCTGTGTGGAGCTTGTTAGCAGCAGTTAATCCAGCCATTCCTGCACCAATTATCACAATTCTGGGCTTTTTGGACACCATTTTTGTTATCACTGTCACACAATTAGGCTATGAGATATATATATTTGAAAGTGAACAATGAACGCAATTGTGTTTTGTGTATGAACTTTGTGAGGTGAGAATGAATTACTGAAAGAGGATATATAAGGGTGTACTTGGTGTAGTTTACCCCTCGAAGGCATCTTTTATTTTTTTCTTGTTTTCTTCCATAGTTTATTTAGCTAATAAAGACATGGCTTTACTTTTCTTGAAACTCTACTTGTACCCCAATGCAGTAATATATGTAATGACACTCCCAAAACCCTTTTTTTCTGCCTCAGTAAATCTCACTGTCATCTATGAAATATACTTATACTCACATGTGTATGTATATATATATATATATAACTACTCGTGTGGGTGGAGTGGGAGGGGAGGGGTTTGGGATAATATTGTAGCCAATAAACCAAAGAACAATAATAGGTTGATGATGCCCGTCACCAACCTTTCACATGTGAACCGGTAAACGACGGCCCACCAAACTGAACACACTGAATGGTCCTTATTAGTCAATGAGCTTGCAATGAATCTACCACTTCAAATTGGTAATCCCTACTCACAACTAAAAGATACCGTTGTAAAGACTTGGTTTTTAATCGGAATTTATCAACGAAAATAACAATAAAATATTCGTAGTTATTTAGTGACGATACAAGTTAGTATTTTGCTACGGTAATATTTCGACGATAAATAGCGGTACCAACGGAATTTGTAGCATCAATGAGCGAATGAATTTTTCATTTTGATATTGCATAACTGGATAGTAAGATGTGTATGTATATCTTTGTAATACGATATGTTCTAGGTAATTATAATGTCATCGACATTATTCACACAACCCTAATGGGACGAAACATCTTGATGCCCACGTGACAAGTATAAATTCGCACTCACGTAACCAGGAGAATAAGTGGACAATATTCACATGATCGTACAATTAGAGAGTCGTGCAACTAATCCAGTATGGAAAGATACATATATAGGTGACATACATATCTAGTGTAGGACCATAGGACAACATCACAAAGGTAGTAGTATTGGCAAAACATTAATTAGAAAAGTAGTTATGTTTGCTATGTCAAGTTGATTATATTCCATTTCTTCAAGTGCAACATCAAGAAATCGTTTGCATTTCATACCCAGACGTTGATTTTGTTTTTGACATGTCCCATGTGTTTTGGATCTATATTGCTCATTGTGATGGTAAATTTTGGAATTTTCTTCTCTAAATCTCACTCTATCTTTTGCAAAAAGAACCCAATTTAGAAGATAATAACTAGATTAAGCAAGTTGATTATAGTAATTAACCTCGAAATTTATTATATGAAATGCCTCGGTTTAGTTTCAATCTTGCCATTGAACTTTTAGTGAAATTTCAATTTGATCGTCCAACCTTTTAGGTAACAAATTTATGTGGAAACATAAGATGCATCAAATTACTGTATATTCTTAATGTTTACGTAAGACACAACATGGTTTAGACGAATTTAAATTTAATAAACTTGCTGAAAGTTCGACAACCAAAAAAATTATATTTACTGAGATGGCAGAAAAAGAAATTAAATGTTGAAACCCTATAATACTGTGTACTAAAACGTTTACGTACACACATTAATCTTGAAATGTTTATGACAATTGATTTAACTCCAAAAAATAAAAGTATGTGCAGTCACCCCCTATAAAAATATTTATATCAAGTACAACTTTTTTTACAAGCTAATGTTAAATTATATATAATTAATTAATTTACAATAATTAAACCTTAGTCTTTATCTAAATCTTCATAGAAGGTGGTGAAGATATTTTGATTAATGCTTAAATAATACAAGTTGCTTCGTAGGTGGCTCAATAAGATTTCTACATCTTTTTCGAATATATTTATTTATCATTATTCCCCTTCTTTAATTCCTTTATTTTTGGTCTAAAAGGATAATATTTTGACATTAACATTATAATATTATGGAGTTAATAAAAATTAGCTTCTAAGTTAAAGCAAGATAAGCATAAATATTAATAATAAACACCCATAATTGAGAACTTTTTTGGTAGGGCTCCACTTCAACTTTAATTATTAGTTTAATATTTAACTATAGTGTACATAATCAAGTAGGTTGAGTTTGACCCATGTTAGATTCTTTTAAACTTTCTTAGGCCAAGAAATGTAATTAGATTTGAGTATATATTCGAGGTGTTGAAACATGTTAACCTAAATTTTGAACGACCAAAAAGTTTCAACTTAAAAGGATTTTGGAACTCGAGTTTGACTATGTTGTGATCAAAACTTATCAATGGTGTAGATTTCAATTGACATCAGCAATCTTGAAAAGTAATTTTGAAATGCAAGAAAATGGTCGGAAAAGGGGATATTTCATGTATGATGCTCAAGTCAACTATTGATTTTAGCATTTTAAAAAATGCTTGTATATTAATCAAAATTTAGAAACGATAGACTATGTTGTTTGGAAATTAAACCGAAACATATCATGCATATTTTCAAAAAAATATATTAATCGAGAAAGTTAATATGTAATCGAAAAATAATTATTAACTTGACATGGCATTGATCGATACATAGAAAAAGGTTAAATAATTAACAATGATGATGCACGAATTGACCATGTGAAGAAAGTGAAGAAGCATTGATAATAGCTTAATTTACGAGTTATTAATAATGATTGACATAATTATTGACATAATGTCACGTGGCAACATATTATTGGACTGTTTAAAACTCAATCAACTTTTTCAACCAATCACATCTTGCCAACACTTATTTTGTCAACCATTATGTCACATTGTTGGAGCAAAGTAGCATTATTCTATTAATAAGTATCATTACACTCATTATTATACTAATTTGGATCTACCGGCGCATCATTAATATGCATCATTATCAATGCTAAATCAAAAAACAAAAAAAAAGTCAAATTAATTCTTTAGTTCAAATTTCTCCTTGAGCACCCAATCTCTCTCTCACACACACACATAAACCAAAAATTTCACATAAAAACACACAATTTTCTAACCAATAAATGCATTGAATGGTGTGTTCAACTTCAATGACTAGCAAACAAAGGAAATGAGACGTCTTGGAACTAAACTAATTCATACTTTTGTCCAAATAGAGCTATCTCCAACGGATTTCCTATATTTAAAGAGCATATTTTACAGCTCAGAACGAATTTATAAATTTAGAAAGTAAAAACTTTTAAATATTTCAAAAAACTCTTTATATTTAACACTTTATTTTATTATTCTAAAAAAATATTTATTGTTTATCCATATCTATTATTTCTACTAGCATCCCTCCAAATTATTATATTATTTTCTTCCATTAAAAATTGAAATGTTTAGAATGTATTTAATTATAGAGGGTGTGTTAAAATATTAATTTAAAGAGTTTCTTGGAGTACAATTTCAAGGGTTAGACTCTTTAATGCAGAGAACATCTTTTGTTTAAAAAATATTTTGAAGTGCATCTCCAAAAAATTCACAAAACAAAAAATACTCTTTATTTTAAAGAGTCAATGCATAAAAATGAATTCCAAAAAACTTTCTATTTTAACTTTTTAAAATAGAGATTTGATTTGACTCTCCAAATTTAGAAAGTCAAACACACTCTCTATGCTTATGTACAATGATTGAATACATTACAAATTTCAATACTCTACCATTTAAATTATTCAAATTATATTTAAATTGATTGGATATTAACATATAAAAGAAAATTATATTAAATAAGATATGAGGAGAAATTATTATATGTTCAATGGAAAACTAAAATAAGTATTCAAAATAGAGAGCTTTTTAATGTGCATAAAAAAATTTACTCTCTAAATTTAAAAATGTTCTCTATTATGCATAAAATATTCTTTATAAATAGGGAGTCTCTTAAAAATGCTCTTAGAAACTTGATTTTTTTATTTTATTTACGCTAAAAAAAAAAAATTTAAATATGGTAACAATGAAAATATGTCTTTTTCTCCAATCTCTAGTACAATTTCTAAAGGCAAATCTTTTTTTTTCTCCATAATAGCTAAGAAACGTAATGTTCTTGATTCTTCATCTACTACTTCAACTTCAACTGCAAATCTACATACCACACCTGCTGAATTAGAAAGATATTATCAATTTGATCATTATAGTTTAATACCTGAAGATGAAGTGGATAAATTAGATATTTTAGGATGGTGGAAATTAAATGAGCGGTCATACCTTATATTATCTAAAATGGCACGAGATATACTAACAGTTTCTTCTCAACAGTGGCATCCGAGTCTACTTTTAGTGCAGGTAACAAGGTATTGGACGAATGAAGATTTAGACTTAAAGAAGATATTTTGGAAGCTCTCATATGCGTGAAATGTTGGATGTTCGCGGATTGAAAGATGCAAGATAAAATTAATGATGATATTGTTGAAAATTTCAAAAATCTTACAGTTCATAAAGATTGATTGAGAAACAAATATATAATTTTTCAACAACTAAATTATAGTTAATAGTTAAAACTTAAGTAGGTGACAAACTAGTTGAAATGTACTTAAATTATAAATTATAGTAAAAGTAGGTGTCAACCTAGTTGGGATGTACTTTGTTATAATATATACCTTCACGTAATTAGAAATGCATTTAGTTGTTAAATTTCAATTATTAAATTTGAATTCTATGTAAACATTTTTTGGTATAAATATGAATTTATCATTTTATTCAATTCTTAGTTTACATTTAAAAAAAAAAAAAATTGCTATCAATATAAAAAATTCTTGAAACAACCCGCGACCCGTGACCCTCGAACTGCGACCCGTATGGGCTCGACCCGGATGGGTCAGCGGGCGGGTCTGGGTTGTAGTCCAAAATTTGTGGGCCGACCCGGAACTGGTAGCGGGCGTGCTTTTTTTCACCCGAGCCGTTACCGGGCTCATATATTGGCGGGTCGACCCGACCCCGACCCGACCCGACCCGACCCACACGGATTGACACCT